CTCCCACCGGTCCCAGTGCGGCCCCGCCCCTTCCACTCCTCCCACCGATCCCAGTGAGGCCCCGCCCCCCCGGCCCCTGCACGGCTCCCAGCATCCTGGACCACCTCTTCTGGGATCCCACCTTGGCCGCAGGGGTTGTGAATAAGGTTGCGTCCGATGGGTCTGCGTGCGCAGAAGCGGCCCAGCGGGCAGGGCCTGGCGTTGCGGGAGGGAGACTGGCAGCTGCGGGCGAGCTGCAGCAGCGCGCGGCCGGTGGCGCTGTGGTCCCGGGCCAAGATCAGCAGCCACAGGGCCTGGCTGTCCACCAGGTCGCGCCAACCCCGGCACACTTGGCGGCAGCGCCCCAGCAGCGTGCGCGGGGGGACGTGGCTCAGCACCACCAGAAGCAGCTCCGGGGGCATTTGGCTCAGGTCCAGCGCCCGTTCGGGTTCCGGCTCCGGCGCGGGGACCCGGGCGGCCCGGCACCTGGAGGCGGAGGCGCCCATGGTCCCCCCGCCAGGCCCGGCTGTGGCTGCGGGAGAGGATGGGTCAGGGCGTCAGGGACCAGCAGCCTCCGCGGCGCGCCGCCTCCGCCTGCCCTGCCTCTGCCAGTCGCACCCCTACCTTCACCACTCCTGGGCCCAGTTCCCAGGTCCCCATCCCCCAGCCCGTCCTTGATAGCACCGATATCTCGGAGACCCCGCGGTTTGTGTGTATGTCCCGAGTTGCATGCAATCGGCCCCACCGACACCCCACCCCAAGTCCTACCCCGGGGCCTGGCGGCGCTCCTCGCCCGGATGCCGCAAGCTCCCCACGCCCCTCTGAACCCTTTTTACTCGCCGGCCCCTCCCCTCTTACCAGCCAGCTTGACCTACCCCTGAATCCTCCTTACTGGCCAGCCCTTCCCACCTACTCCTTCCCCATCTCGAGACCCAACCTGCTTCCCGCGATGGGGCCGGTCCGGCCGGGATCCTTCTTCTCCAGCCTGCCTCTTGAAATGTTCTCAATTCGTTAGCGGCAGTGAGAGGCCTGGCTCCGAGCAACCGTTGTTATTTTGGTCCGGCTTCTTGGTGAGAGGCCTCATATCCGCTAAGGCGTTAAAAAATTTCCATCACCTTTAAGGTCGGGCATGGTTATCTTCATTTCACAGGAGAAAACAAGCTCCAGCTGCTAAAAATGAGTGCCGCAACCAATCATAACACTAGCCAACTTTTATGGACGGTTTTACTGCCATCCAGGATGGCAGCCCCATGATAGGTGCCGTTATGCCTCCACTTCACAGGTGAGAAAACAGACCAGCAAAGGCCAAGTGATTTGCCTATGATCACCGGCCAGTAAAGATTTGAATCCAGCCAGCCTAGCTCCAGAATTCCTAATTTTAATCTCTAGATCAGCTCTGTCCAGTAAAAGCACAATTGTGGCTGGGTGTGGTGACTCACGCCTGTAATCCCAGCACTTTTGGGGGCCAAGGCGGGTGGATCGCTTGAGGTAAGGAGTTCGAGACCAGCCTGGCAAATATGGTGAAACCTATCTCTACTAAGAATACAAAAATTAGCTGGGCGTGGTGTCAGGCGCCTGCAATCCCAACTAATTTGGAGGCTCAGGCAGGAGAATCGCTTGAACCTGGGAGGCTGAGGTTGCAGTGAGCAGAGATTGCACTGCTGCTCTCCAGCCTGTGCAAGAGGATGAGACTCTGTCTCAATAAACAGAAAAAACAATTATGAAAGTTAATTATATGAATTGGATCCTTCTTGTCATACTCAACTAAAACAAAGTTGAGAGGCCAGGGGGAAAAAACACTCAGGGCAGACACCATTTGCCCCAAGAATGTGATTCTCTGCAGGGCTGGCTGTTAAAACTGCCAGGTGTAACTTGGAACCAGTCTAACTGACACTGAAACACACTGAAACAACCTGCTGTGACTCTAAGACTAGTTTTACCCTCTGCTGTCACTCACCAATCAGAACTTGCCAGCTCCCCAAAACATCCCTAGTGTCAAGGAACTTTCTTGCAAAACAATACCTGACATTTGTTTCTTATTTTAAAAAACCCTCTGACCTCTTTGCTCTTTGAAAGTACTGAAGACCACGTGGTCTGTGTGCATGCCTCAAATTTCAATTCTTGCTTCCCAAATAAAACATATATTATTTTTTTTGAGACAGCAAAGACTCTGTCTCTCAGGCTGGAAGGTCAGTGGTGCTATCTCGGCTCACTGCAACCTTTGCCTCTTGGGTTCAAGCGATTCTCATGCCTCAGCCTCCCCAGTAGCTGGGATTACAGGTGTGCGCCATCATGCAGGCTAATTTTTGTATTTTTAGTAGAGAGGGGGTTTCACCACGTTGGCCAGGCTGGTCTCAAACTCCTGACCTCAGGTGATCTGCCCGCCTTGACCTCCCAAAGTATAGGGATCACAGGCGTGAGCCACTGCTCCCAGCCCAAATAAAACATTTTAAATTTAGAGATTTGTCTCTGTATCTCTATATTTTATTTGGCTTTGCATAATGTGAGCCATATACATAATTTAAAACATCAACAAACAAAACCAGACATAGATTATTCCCCACAAAGAACTTACCTTCTAGAGGGAGAGACATGATAAACAGTTGCATAATGAGCAAATTACATAATATCAAGGAAATAATTTAAAATAAAGCCTCCAGGTCAGGCATGATGGCTCCTGCCTGTAATCCCAGCACTTTGGGAGGCTGACATGGACAGATCACTTGAGGTCAGGAATTCAAGACCAGCCTGCCCAACATGGCGAAACCCTGTCTTTATTAAAAATACAAAAATTAGCCAGGAATGGTGGTACATATCTGTGATCCGAGCTACTTCGGAAGCTGATACATGAGAATCACTTCAACACGGGAGGCAGAAGTTGCAGTGAGCTGAGATATCACCATTGCACTCCAGCCTAGGCGACAGTGAGATGACATCTTAAATAAATAAAAACCTCTTTTTGACCTTCTAAGAATTCTCTCCACAAATGCCAAAAAGAATTAAATGGGGCCCAGCATGGGGGCTCACATCTGTAATCCCAGCACATTGGGAGACCGAGGCAGGAGGATCTCTTGAGCCCAGGGGTTTGAGACCAGCCCTGGCAACACAGTGAGACCCTGTCTCTACAAAAAGTTTAAAAAGCAGCTGCATATGGTGGTGTGCACCTCTAGCCTCAGCTGCTTGGTAGGCTCAGGTGGGAAGATGGCTTGAGCCAGGGAGGGTTCTTTCTTTTCTTTTCTTTTTTTTTTTTTGTTTATTTTTTTTTTTTTTTTTTAGGAGAGACAAGGTCTTGCTGTTGCCCAGGCTGGTCTTGAACTCCTGAGCTCAAGTGATCCTCCCACCTCTACCTCCCAAAGTGCTAGGATTATAGGCGTGAGCCACTGTGCTCACTAAAACTAATATATGAGTTTCAGTGTAATGTGTAAGCAGTGAGAATCTTCTTGATAATGAGATACAATGACCCAACTCTATGATTTTTTTTTTTTTTTTTTTGAGACATAGTCTTGTTCTGTCACCAGGCTGGAGTGCTGTGTCACGATCTCAGCTCACTGCAACTTCCACATCCCGGGTTCAAGCAATTCTTCTGCCTCAGCCTCCCAAGTAGCTGGGACTACAGGTGCACACTACCATGCCCACCTAATTTTCATGTTTTTAATAGAGACAGGGTTTCATCATATTGATCAGGATAGTTGCGATCTCATGACTTCATGATCTGCCCAGCTCGGCCTCCCAAAGTGCTGGGATTACAGGCATGAGCCACCGCACCCAGCCATATATGAATTTTTAAGAACTTTTTGAGACAGAGTCTCACCTTGTCACCCAGGCTGGAGTGCAATGGCTTGATCTTGAACTCCTGACCTCATGTACTCTGCTCTCCTCACCCAAAGTGCTGGGATTACAGGCATGAACCACCACACCTGGCCTGGATTTTTTTTTTTTTTTGAGATAGAGTTTCGCTCTTGTTACCCAGGCTGGAGTGCAATGGCGCGATCTCGGCTCACCGCAACCTCCGCCTCCTGGGTTCAGGCAATTCTCCTGCCTCAGCCTCCTGAGTAGCTGGGATTACAGGTACGCGCCACCATGCCCAGCTAATGTTTTGTATTTTTAGTAGAGACGGGGTTTCACTGTGTTGACCAGGATGGTCTCGATCTCTTGACCTCGTGATCCACCCACCTCGGTCTCCCAAAGTGCTGGGATTACAGGCTTGAGCCACTGCGCCCGGCCCTGGCCTGAATTTTTTTTAACAGTTAAAGGGTTTAAAAAATTTAAATAGGTTGGTCAGGCACGGTGGCTCACGCCTGTAATCTCAGTACTTTGGGAGGCTGAGGCAGGTGGGTCACCTGAGGTCAGGAGTTTGAGACCAGCCTGGCCAACATGGTAAAACCCCCATCTTAAAACCCCCCTACTTAAAAAGTTAGCTGGGTGTGGTGGCACACACCTGTTGTCCCAGCTACTTGGGAGCCTGAGGCAGGAGTATTGCTTGAACCTGGGAGGCAGAGGTTGCAGTGAGCCAAGATTGTGCCACTGCACTCCAGGCTGGGCAAGAGTGAGACTTTGTCTCAAAAAAAAAAAAAAAAAAACAAATTCAAGTAGGTCAAAAGAGTGGATACTGAAAAGTCAGTTTCCTTTTCCAGTACTCGCTTCTCCTCCCAAGGGGAAGACTCTTGGTCTCCACCCAAGGACACCACACCCAGATATACGTTCACCAATCCTTCTGAGGACTGCTACCTGAGAGACTTTATTTGCAAATGAGACCAGTGCAGTTCTGCCCCTCACCCTACCATGGTCCAGAAGCCTCCTAGCCCCTATTTCTGTAGCTCAAGATGCTATTTAAGCTTCAACCATCTGGCCCTTCTTTGAATCTCATACTTTGTGGGGTTCCTGTGTGTGCGCACAAAAGGGATTTGTGTGCCTTTTCTCCTGTGAATTTGTCTACTGTCAAGTTTATTTCAGAGACTTAAATTGTCAAGCCTTTGGAGAGGGCGGATGGAAAGTTTTAGTTGTCCCTTCACTTGTTAAGAGTTTTGAAAAGTTCTTTGAGATGAGGTCTCACTCTGTTGCCTAAGTTGGAGTGCAGTGGTGTGATCGTGGCTCAACCCATCCTCCCACCTCAGCCTCTCAAAGTGCTGGGATCACAGGCATGAGACAGTGCACTGCAGGCACGAGTCAGGTCACTGCAGCCTCGCCCTCCCAGCCTCAGATGATCCTCCCATCTCAGCCTCTTGAAGAGCTGTGATTATCGGCACAGTTACAGGTCCACCATGTTTAGCTCTTTTTTTTTTTTTTTGAGACAGAGCCTTGTTCTGTCACACAGGCTGGAGTGCCATGGTACACTCAGCTCACCAAAGCCTCTGTCTCCCAGGTTCAAGCAATTCTTCTGCCTGCCTCGGCCTCCTGAGTAACTGGGATTACAGGCGCACGGCACCATGCCTGGCTAATTTTTGTATTTTTAGTAGAGATGGGATTTCACCATGTTGGTCAGGCTGGTCTCAAACTCCTGACCTTGTGATCCGCCCACCTCGGCCTTCCAAAGTGCTGGGATTACAGATGTGAGCCACTGCACCCGGCCCAATGTCTGGCTAATTTTTTGTAGAGATGAGACTGGACTACAAACTCATCTCAAACTGTTGGCCTCAAGCAATCCTCCTGCCTTGGTCTCCCAAAGTGCTGGGATTACAGGTGTGAACCACCACACTGGCCTCGTCCCTCTTCTTTATAGACAGGAAAGGGCTGAGGAAAGCAGAAACAGAAAACGAAAAATGGATTGGCACTTTCAAAATTACCTTCCTTGTAATGGATAAAGCAGAGTTGTTCTTCAGTTCAGCAAACCAGAAAATCTCTTAATCTAGGAGGGCCAGTTGTGGGTTTTATGGAGCTGTTGCTTCAGAGACTCCACACAGAGGGGCAAACGTTCTAGAGCTACCACAAACCCCATGGGGATTCCAAATCATCAGGTCTGCATTTGTAACAAATTCCCAGGAGATGCTAGAGCTGATGCTTCCAGGATCAAGCTTTGAGTAGCTGGATCTTACAGGAATCAAGCCAAGCATCCCTTGCATGTTGCTGCACATATTCTTTTGTTTTTTGAGGTGGAGTCTCGTTCTGTTGCCCAGACTGGAGTGCAGTGACATGATCTCGGCTCACTGCAACCTCCGCCTCTTGGGTTCAAGCTATTCTCCTGCCTCAGCCTCCCGAGTAGCTGGAATTACAGGCACATGCCACCAGGTCCAGCTAACTTAAAATTCTCTCCTTTTATTTCCCCTTTACATTATAGCTAGGGCATTTTGGAGCTAGGTTTTATTATCTAAGTATTTCATTTCAAGGTGTTAAAGGCAGCCTTTAACACCGTGAGAAATGATTTGCTGTAAATCGGGGGCATTGGCTCTGATGAGGTTGGGCAACACTGATGCAAAGCAAGAGGTGAGTGTGGGCTGCAAGCTTCTCTCTCTGCTAGGGGTGTGGGTGGGAAGCTGGGGAAAGTCCTGTGGCCCAGTTTGCAGAAGCAGAAATGTCATGAGCCTCCAGGACAGAGAAGTGGGCAGCACAAATAATTCCAAGGGTGTCAGAGGTTCGACCAATGTAGGTTTCTTGATTACAGCTCCCCCTACAGGCCACGGTGAGCAGGATTAGAGTGAGGTAGGACCAGAGGCGGGGCTTGGTCAAACAGGGCGGTGGGAGAGTGGGAAGCATCTTTCTTTATTATTATTATTTTTTGAGAGGGAGTTTCATTCTTGTTGCCCAGGCTGAAGTATAATGGCATGATCTTGGCTCACTGCAACTTCCGCCTCCTGGATTCAAGCGATTCTCCTACCCTCCCAAGTAGCAGGGATTACAGGCATGCACCACCACACCTAGCTAATTTTTTGATATTTTTAGTAGAGACGGGGTTTCTCCATGTTGGTCAGGCTGGCCTCGAACTCCTGACCTCAGGTGATCCTCCCACCTTGGCCTCCCAGTGTTGGGATTACAGGCGTGAGCCACAACACCTGGCCTATTATTGTTTCTGAGACAGGGTCTCACTCTGTCTCCCAGGCTGGAGTGCAGTGGTACGATCTCAGCTCACTGCAACCTCTGCCTCCCAGGTTAAATTGATTCTCCTGCCTCAGTCTCCTAAGTAGCTGGGATTACAGGCACCTGCCACCAAGCCTGGCTAATTTTTGTATTTTTAGTAGAGACAGGATTTCACCATGTTGGCCAGGTTGGCCTCAAACTCCAGACCTCAGGTGATCCACCCGCCTTGGCCTCCCAAAGTGCTGGGATTACAGGCCTGAGCCACCACGCCCCTCTGGAAGCAGCTTTCAATGAGATAGGCCCACCAGTGTGCCATGCCAATTTACCATTGCCATGGCAACACCGGGGAGTTACTGCTCCTTTCCATAGCAATGACCCAATGATTACCACCCCCTTCACTAGAAATTTCTGTATGAACCGCCCCTTAATCTTCATACAGAATTTAAAGTGGGTATAAATATGATTGTGGAGCTGCCCTGAGCTGCTACCGTCTGCCCATGAATAGCCCTGCTCTGCAGGAGCGGTCACCGAGCTGTGACTGCCACTTCAGTAAAGCTGTTTCTTCTACCTCTGGATTGCCCTGAATTCTTTCCTGGGTAGGACGGGTGTAGTGGCTCACACTTGTATTCCCAGCACTTTGGGAGGCCGGGGGAGGCGGATCATTTGAGGTCAGGAGTTGGAGATCAGACTGGCCAACATGGCAAAACCCTGTCTCTACTAAAATTACAAAAATTAGCCGGGCATGGTGGTATAATCCCAGCTACTCAGGAGGGTGAGGCAGGAAAATCGCTTGAACCTGAGAGGCAGAGGTTGCAGTAACGCAAGATCATGCACTGCACTCCAGCCTGGGAGACAGAGCAAGACTCCATCTGAAAGAAAGAAAAAGAGAGAGAGACAGAGAGGAAGGGAGGGAGGGTGGGAAAGAGAAAGAAAGAGAGAGAAAGAAAGAAAAAGAAAGAAAGAGAGAGAGAGAAAGAAAAGAAAGAAAAAGAAAAAGAAAGAAAGAAAAAGGAAGAAAGAAAGACTTGAAAAATAAAGCCAGGGAATGCGATGAAGACAGGATTCTCATGTTTATACTCCTAATAACAAAAACAATCACAAAAGACTTTGCAGAAACCACAAACTCGCCCAAAGGGCATTACAACTTTACACAAAAAAGTAGTTCTACAAAGACCTTTGTAGAAGAACCTGTCTGACTTCTAACTGGCATCACCCTTAACAGTGATAACTATTTCAAAACAGTTATGTACTCCTCCTCATTTTTTCTTGTAAGAGCCTTTGTCTTCCTTTACCTTCCTGAATCTGCACATAGTTTACTATGCCATGCAGATTTTCATTGTAGTGCTATATTCTCAAATCTTTTTTTTTTTTTTTTTTTTTTTTTTTTTTGAGACTGGCTCTGTCGCCCAGGCTGGGGTGCAGCGGCACAATCTTGACTCACTGCAACCTTTGTCTCCTGGATTCAAGTGATTCTCCTGCCTCAGCCTCCTGAGTAGCTGAGATTACAGGTGCCCACCACCATGCCCAGCTAATATTTTTAAATTTTTAATAGAGACGGGGTTTCATCATGTTGGTCAGGCTGGTCTTGAACTCCTGACCTCAGGTGATCTGCCCGCCTTGGCCTCCCAAAGTGCTGGGATTACAGGCGTGAGCCACCATGCCTAGTGCAAACATCTCTTCTTTTACAGAACCTCTCTCTGTTTGTTCATTAGGTTGACAGATATGGTGTCAGAAATGGGACATGAATGAGATCACTATTGGAAGAAATTCGTGGTTTTTGGAATTGTGCAGCACTCACTCTGAGCTCTCTGTTTACATGGATGGCTCTTCTTATTTGTTTATTTATTTTTTGAGATGGAGTCTCACTCTTTCACCCAGGCTGCAGTACCGTGGCCTGATTTTGGCTCACTTCAACCTCTGCCTCCTGAGTTCAAGTGATTCTCCTGCCTTACTTGGCCTCCCCAGTTCCTAGGATTACAGGCGCACACCACCATGCCCAGCTAATTTTTGTATTTTTTGTTTTGTTTTGTTTTTTTGAAACGGAGTTTCGCTCTTGTTGCGCAAACTGGAGTGCAATGGTGTGATCTCAGCCCACTGCAACCTCCGCCTCCCAGGTTCAAGTGATTCTCCTGCCTCAGCCTTCCAAATAGCTGGGATTACAGATGCCCACCACCATGCCCAGCTCATTTTTATATTTTTAGTAGAGATGGGATTTCACTATGTTGGCCAGGCTGGTCTTGAACTCCTGACCTTAGGGGATCCACCTGCTCGGCTTCCCAAAGTGCTGGGATTACAGGCATCAGCCACCGTGCCTGGATAATTTTTGTGTTTTTAATAGAGATGGAGTCTCATCATGTTGGCCAGGCTGGTCTCAAACTCCTAACTTCAAGTAATCCACCAGCCTCAACCTCCCAAAGTGCTGGGATTACAGGCGTGAGCCACCGTGCCTGGCCTGGTTAAGACGACCTTAATAAAGGACTATACATCCTTCCTGAACTGATAAAAGACTTCTTTATCTTTTTTGGTAAGCCCTTCCTGGTTTAGAGACCAGTGTCTTTGTGGATTGCATATTCTGGGTTTCTGCAGAATTTGCATGCTGCCTGTGAGGCATGCCTCGTTCGGTTTACCCACCTAGTTTCATATTTTGTTTGATCTGCACACCTCAGTTAACATTTCTGTGAACACTTTTATCTTGGTTTCTTTTGATTTGGTTTGACCCTTCCCTTGCTTGTTTCCAAAAGTCTTGCAAGAGCAAAAATAAACATTCTAAATGGTGGGTGCATGACGGCTGACTGGGGTGGTCACCACTATCTACAACACCGGACTAAACGCCTGACACTCCCTGGCAGGACTTACAGGGTTTTCTTTGCTTCTGGAAGATTAATGTGAAGTGGAACAGGGTTCTCAAACATGAAAGCATGCCAGGTTTTCTGGGGTTCCAGCTGGTACATATTATGGCCTGTTCTTGTGCATGTTGTTTTCTGAGACGGAGTCTCGCTCTGTCACCCAGGCTGGAGTGCAGTGGCGTGATCTCAGCTCACTACAACCTCCGCCTCTTGAGTTCAAGCCATTCTCCTGCCTCAGCCTCCCGAGTAGCTGGGATTACAGGGGTGCACCACCACGCCTGGCTAATTTTTGTATTTTTAGTAGAGCTGGGGTTTCACCATGCTGGCCAGGCTGCTCTCAAACTCCAGACCTTAAATGATCCATCGACCTTGGCCTCCCAAAGTGCTGAGATTATAGTGCACTGTAAGGCAACAGAGTGAGATTCCATCTCAAAAAAAAAAAAAAAAAAAAAAAAAAAAAAAAGAGTGGTCATCTAAAATACAAAATATATAATAACACAAATGTCTTTTATTTCATGTAACTTAAGTAAATCTTTAGTAAATAAGCTGGTTTTTAAATTATCAGTAAAATAAAATGGAAATGTCTCCAAAATTGTCAACATACACTTTTTTCCTGGGTTTAATGGTCAGTTTTCCATGTGTTGCTGCTAGATGTTATACTGTGGCAGGGTTTGGTCCAAGGCTTATAAAACTACGAACCTCGTCTAAAATAGAATTATTTTTGCGTCATTTTTTTCCTCCCTGCCTCAGCCTGCCAAGTAGCTGGAACTAAAGGCGCCACCACACCTGTCTAATTTTTGTATTTTTAGTACAGACGGGGTTTCACCATGTTGGCCAGGATGTTCTCAAACTCTTCACCCCGTGATCTGCCTGTCTCAGCCTCCCAAAGTGCTGGGATTACAGGCATAAGCCTCCCTGCCCAGCATCTTCGTGTAATTTTTAAAAGTAAGGTTGGTTTAATAAAAATATCTGTGTCTTCTGAGATACTCATATATTTACAGGCTATAAATCTTGTGAAGTGAGACATAACAAAATGATCGCTAGCTTTGTCTAATATCTAAATTTTCATAAGTAATCTAAGTAAACTGTTAAAAAAATTTGGGTACGCGTAAATGGGCTATATGCTTAAAAATGAACTTTTTATATAATTTGAAATCTCAAAATCATGTTATGGTAAATTAAATAATAGATATTCATTAAATATGTGGGTCATTTTCAAATAAGATAATAAACGGAAACAAATTGCTGAACATAGATATGTTTGTTCTTGGATATATATTTGAGATGGAGTTTCTTTCTTGTTGCCCAGGCTGGAGTGCAATGATATAATCACCGCTCACTGCAACCTCCACCTTCCAGGTTCAAGCAATTCTCCTGCCTCAGCCTCCCGAGTAGCTGGGATTACAGGTGTCTGCCACCATGCCCGGCTAATTTTTCCTATTTTTTTTTTTTTTTTTTTTAGTAGAGAGAGGGTTTCACTATGTTGGCTGGGCTGGTCTTGAATTCCTGATCTCAGGCAATCCACTTGCCTCACCTTCCCAAAGTGCTGGAATTATAGGCATAAGCCACCACGCCTGGCTCTTTTTTTTTTTTTTTTTTTGAGGTGGAGTTTCATTCTTGTTGCCTAGCCTGGAGTGCAATGGTGCAATCTTGGCTCACTAGAAACTCCTCTTCCTGGGTTCAAGCGATTCTCCTCTCTCAGCCTCCCAAGTAGCTGGGATTATAGGCACACATCACCACGCCTGGCTGATTTTGTATTTTTAGTAGAGACAGAGTTTCAACATGTTGGTCAGGCTGGTCTCAAACTCCTGACCTCAGGTCATCTGCCCACCTCAGCTTCCCAAAGTGCTGGGATTACAGGTGTGAGCTATTGCACCCGGCGGCTTCTATATTTTTTTGTTTCTTTTTTTATTATTTTGAGACAGAGCTCACTCTGTCACCCAGTCTGGAGTGATCATGCAGTGGCGTGATCATAGCTCACTGCAGTCTCAACCTCCCTGGGCTCAGGTGATCCTCCAGCTCAGCCTCCCAAGAAGCTGGGACTATAGGCGTGAACCACAATGCCTAGCTAAATTTTTTATTTTTTGTAGAGACAAAGTTTTGCCATGTTGCCCAGGCTGGTCTTGAACTACTGGGCTCAAGTGTTCTGCCTGCCTTGGCCTCCTAAAGTGCTAGGATTATGGGTATGAGTCACTGTGCCCAGCTAGCTCCTTAATGTGTGTGTGTGATGGGGTCTCACTCTGTCTCCCAGGCTGACAGTGGCATGAGCTCAGCTCACTGCAACCTCCGCCTCCTGGATTCAAGAGATTTTCCTGCCTCAGCCTCCCAAGTAGCTGGGATTACAGGCACCCACCACCACACTGGGCTCATTTTTATATTTTTAGTAGAGATGGGGTTTCACCATGTTGGCCAGAGTGATCTCGAACTCCTGACCTCAAGTGACTCACCCACCTCAGCCTCCCAAACTGTGGGATTACAGGCGTGAGCCACCACACTCAGCCCCAGCTGGATTCTTATAATTATAAAAACTAAATATTTTGGAGTATATTAATATACATAAAATTACGGGAAAACATGTTTGTATGGGAAAAATGGTTTTTGTTTATAAAATACTAATATATGACAGACAATTCGAGATTTCTTGCTTCTCAGGTTTTCACTAAAATTTAAGGCTACTGTATTAGTGCGTTCTCGAGTTGCTGTGAAGAAATACCCAAGACTGGGTAATTTATAAAGGAAAGAAGTTTAGTTGACTCACAGTTTTTCTGCATGTCTGGGGAGGCCTCAAGAAACTTACAATCATGGCGGAAGGGGAAGCAACACATTCTTCTTTACACGGCAGCAGGAGAGAGAAGTGCTGAGCAAAGACGGAAACAGCCCTTATAAACCCATCAGGTCTTGACCAGGCACAGGGGCTCACACCTGTAATCCCAGCATTTTGGGAGGCCGAGGTGGGCAGATTACCTGAGGTTGGGAGTTTGAGACCAGCCTGGCAAACACAGTGAAACCCCATCTCTAATAAAAATACAAGAATTAGCTGGGCATGGTATATGCACCTGTGGTCCCAGCTACTCGAAAGGCTGAAGCATGAGAATTGTTTGAACCTGGAGGGCGGAGGTTACCGTGAGCTGAGATTGCACTGCTGCGTTCCACCTGGGTCGACAGAGTGAGACTCTGTCTCAATAAATAAATAATAAAGGCAAAAGCTGCTCTGTTTCCAAAGCCCTGTGAGGTGAAATGAGAACAATTTTAAGGAACAAACCTTGTGCCCAATGCATGGGCCACACAAAAGCTCACCAAACTGTCTGATGTCATGTCCAAAGACACACAAATTGAAAATCAGGAGGAAAAGTTGATGTTTTCACACTGTAGACAGCTTTTTCCAAGACATTTGGAACAAAACTAACTCGTAATAAGATTTTTACCCCCCCCCCATGCTATCTTTTTCATTTGGCAGGATAATGGTGTAATTGAAATTTT